ATATAGTATATTACTATAATTATATAGTATATTATATGGTATATTACTATACTATATAATATAGTATATTACTATAAGTACTATAATACAAGTATATTACCATAATATAAGTACTATAATACAAGTATATTACTATAATATAAGTACTATAATACAAGTATATTACTATAATATAATATAGTATATTCTATATTATATTATATTACTAAATATACTACAAGTATATTTGGTATATACTATATACTATACATTCCTAGTACTAGTTATTAGTTATGATATATATTATACTATAGTACATATATAATATAGTTATAGCACAGTAAATATATATTATATTATAGTATATTATTATACTATTATACTATAATATATTAGCATCTATTATACTATAGTATATTATATATAGTATTATATACTACTGTACTATAATATATTAATTGAGATCTATTTTTGAAGATTTAAATTATTTTCGTGAAATATACAGATAAAGCTTTCATTTCTGTGCAAGATTCCGTATTATAAATCTTTTTATTCTATCGTTTCTGCTGGAAATTTTATGCTTCAATCGTCGGTAGTTCTAGCGTTAACTAGTAAACGCATAAGGAGGAATTGTCCACAATTTAAAATTACTTCTTCCTTCTTATTTTAACAGCCACAGTAAAGGAAACATATATATATATATCTAACACGACACTCTCAACTGCAGTGGGGAGATCAATGCAGTGGAGGGGGTAGTGCTAGCGACTAGAAAAGTGGAGGGGGTAGCGCTAGCGAGCAGAAAAGTGGAGGGGATAGCGCTAGCGAGCAGAAAAGTGGAGGGGGTAGAGCTAGCGAGTAGAAAAGTGGAGGGGATTAGGAGAGTGGGGGCAAGGGCCGCCAGTTAGCCACATCTGCTACAAATCGTTACGCTGACTGTTTTTCTATTCGATACCAAGTTTCGTTTACTATCTGGACACTATATGTGCATCGTCTTGATTAAGCAATCTCGACAGAATCTCCCACCGCAGGAGAGAAAATGAAAATCGACTGGAGGAAAAAGTTGATCAACAAAAATTGATCAATTTGACAAGTTGTGTCGTCGTCAGATTTATTACCTGCAGAGAGTGTCCAGTGCAGAACACGGCCCAGAGGAAAGGGACTTTCCACACCCTGGACGCGACACCGCAGCCAGCCACCAGGCCCACTATCGTGCACACTTTGAAGAACAGGATCATCTGCAGTGCTCTTCGTCTCTTCATCTTCTCCCGCTGCTTGATTTCCAGCTGCATGCTGCACGTGTATCTGCGTAAACGAGATCCACCGGTTCACCGGTCTATAATCCGTCTGTGACGATCTGATCGGGAACGGGGAATAATCGCGGACAACATAAAGGACAACAACTGTCTGGCAATCGGGGGCGAGGTCGTCGATTGGAAAAAGCAACGGTACCTGGACACGATCGCAGCTTTGATTAGATAGTAGCCCGCGGAAAGAAGCAGCAGCACCACGGGTAAACCGTACGTATAAATCGTTGCCTTCGTCCCTAGAAACCTGCAACAGATTGCGTCCATATTGCGTACAAATTATTTTACACATTTCAGCGCGCGTGTCGTTTGCGTTTCCGCGGGAATTCTCGATGCGCTGCGAGACCGAGAAAAACAGAATCGAGCGTCGCTTGG